AGTACCACCCACTGTGCGTATGTGAAGATGTGTGTAGGTTCCTTCAGGTCAGACTGTTTCAGGTCAAAGGAATGTTGTGAGGGAGCTCTGTATGTTTACAAGTGGCCCAGTGGAGACCTTTTCTCTTTCTTTCAGACTTGGTGTCTCTCAGCTCCTAGCTCCACATTTCTTACTACTTCCCAGGAAGAGATATTTCTCTTTGTCTCAAATTGAAGTTCTGCAGGAGATGGTCAGGTTGGCTCAGATTCTGGTATAGGGCAGTTTTGGGTTGTGGGCAGTTATAAACACTACCTTGAGGACTGACTGTATTCATTCTCACATGAATGAGGGACAAAGCATGGTGAATCTTTGAGGAGAGAGGGTCTCAGAAAAGGCTCCCTAGCTCCCTCAGAAAGGGATGTCTGGTCCCAATAGAAATGTTGGAGTTAGAACTTTACACAATTACAAGCTGGTGTTGGACCTAGAAGTCTAGCTTCCAAACAGCTGGCCAAATCCAGTAGCCTTGGACTAGGTGCGCCCAGGGGAGGCCACTTCTGAGGAACTGGCTTCCAGGAACAAGTTCCCTTGGGAAACTCTGCAGGCAGCTTAAACCTCAAGAAAACTACTCATTAGGATCTCAGGGAGCTGTTAATTGCCCTGTCCAGTTGAGACACAGTGTGGCTGCGCCAGCCTGCTGCACAATAATGAAGTCTCTGGAAGCTCCAGACCTGGACTGGCTGCCTGTGCTCCCTCCTGCCTTCTCTTCATTCTCTCACCAAAGACACTGTGCTACCCCCCCCCCACCACACACACAGTCACTGCCCAGAGACCCTCACTGCAGATTTCAAACAGAAGTCCCTTGGGACGTGTCTCTGTGGCAATCATATTCTCCAAAAGAACACACAGGGAGGTCACGCCCAGCAAAGGCTTGTTTAGCTGTGTTATCCGTGTTTTCATCTCGAAGTTATGTTTACAAAGGGATAAAGATTAACTGAGAGTGATTACACACCCCTCCTCAGAGAAGTATGAAAGTCCAAGAAGTTCATCCTGTCTTGGATAAAGCTGTGCTTCTTGGTTGTCACGGCAATAGTCCTGTCTCTCGTTCGGCCTCCTAGTCCTACACTGGAACAGGGCAGTTGGAATCTTCGGGACAGTGCAGAGTGGGAGGTCTATGTTCTAGTCTTGGTTCCAGGGCTTACTAACCAGCCCTCTGGGTATGGAAGTGACAGACTAATAGATCCAAACATCTAGTAAAAACTAGTAGAACTTTGCAAGTAAGAACATCCCAGGGAAAAGTGAAAGGAACCTTCAACCTTTGAAAGAGGATTTGGCATGTGAAACCCCTTGGCACTTGCCACATCCTGTGGGTGAAAGTGGCGGGGAGGCGGGTGGGCACCTCCTCCCCAGATCACTGAGGAAGCTGGGTCAGAAGAAAGGCTGCCTGCTTACACTCAACCAGCAGGGGGCAGCACGTAACCTATACTCAGGCAAGGGCCTGGGATTTCCAGTCTGGTAGAGGTTATTCAGGGTGGCAGCGGCTGAGTTATCAGAGCAGTTGCCAGGTTGGGGAGTGCCTGTGTTTCCAACAGCGATGTCTTAACTGAGATTTACTGTGGTATAAAGACAACTATGTTACCACTTTTAACTTCAGCAGCCTTGCCTTGTCTCTCTAGCTGTTGAACTCCATGAGCATTCTAAAATTTTCTTTATGGTTTTGATGTTTTTTCTCCAGTTGGCCAGAGTTGGTTTCTAGCAACTGAAATCAGGACCCCTGACCAGAACCTTGATGAACTAGTTAACCCACGGTCTGCTCTTCGTAACTAACACCATTTTGAGGCCTCACCTAATTGCAAAGGTCTTTAAGGAGTGCAGTATAAGTTTGGTCAGCCCTAGAGTTGCCATAGAGTTTCTCCTTCACCTTAAATCCTGCTCCATAGGTCAACGCTGAGGAGGACTCTGAAATCAAACTTGTTAGGAATGTCTCAGCCACTAAAAGCACCTGCTTCCATGGCTAAGGACATGAGTTTAGTCCCTAGGACACACATGGTAGGAGAGAAGTGACTTCCTCAAGGTGTCTTCTGACCTCCAGTTGCATAATGTGGAATATGCATGTCTACACACACACCTAAGCAGTTGAATTTTACTGATTTTTTTCATTTTATTTTTATGAGTATGAGTTTTGCCCACGTTTGTCTGTGCTCCCTGTGCATGCAGTACTCGTGGAGGCCAGAAGAGGGTCTCCAATCCCCGGGACTAGAGTCACACCTGTGGTTTTGACACAGTTGCTGGGAATACTGACTCAGCGCCTCACACTTACATAGCAAGCACCTGGCTTCAGAGTGAGGCTGTTTAAAAATGTTCTGTGGTCATGGCAAGATCGGTGCATCTCGCATCCCCTCAAGGCTCCACCTCTGCAGAAGGCAGCTGGCTTTCCATGGTTATCATCTCCCCACAGCATGGCCTCTCTGACAAACCAGATAAAACCCAGCGCCTGTAGGATTTGCTGACACTGTCTAATAGCCCAAGTTCAAAAGCCGGAGAGTTGGGCCTGTGGTCAGTGGCAGAGCTGGCAGGCCCCCAGAAGTCACCCACACCAACTTCCTCTCCACAGTGAATCTATGGCTGGAAGAGGAGTTAAGGGACTTCCTGCAGCCTCAAAGTGACTTAGCAGCAGTGTGGGGATTCGCCAAACATGATGGCTGCTAGGCCACTCTTCTCCCATGTCATCTCTTCTCATCCCTGTACTTGGAATATCTCACTCATTAAACTACCCATGGCTGTTGCAGCAAGTGACTGAACATTTGGTGTCTTGTAGTAATGCAAATTTGTCTTCCCGTTCTGGGGGTCTACAGCTTGACATGAATTTCACAGGGCTAAACTCAGGAGTGGAGAACTGTGGTCCTCTCTGAGGCTCTGGGACTCCCCTGAGATGATAGAGAGAATTTGGCACATGAGTCTATTAGTATTATTTACATTATTCCCTGTGTAGGGTAACCATAATTAAACTTGTTCACATGCATATGAGTATATATAAAGTTTGCGGAATGGTAGATTTCCACATGGGTTTTCCAAACATTCTTACTGTTGCTTATTCCTCACCTCATGGCTTCCCCTGCCTTACTCTTTCATCCCTCTCCCCATTTAAACCTTTGTCCCAACCATCCCACTTTTCTCCCTCACATCACCTATGTTCTGCTATTTCCTCTTCCTTCAGGAGTTTTTTGGCCTTCCCCACCAATGGTCCCTTTCAGGTTTCCTGCCAAGCCAAGCCAGGCAGTGTTCAGCATGGAGGAGAAGGGACTTATGAGCTTCCCACTCCTAACTGATGCTGATGGCTTCTGAGGGAAGGAGAGTTAAGGTTTTATAAGGGTGTGTCTGGCCCCCCACCGATGAGTATATGGGTAGCACAAATTTGATTTAGTCGATTATTTAAAACAAACAAACAAAAAGGATACAAAGTTGGGAGAGGGTGGGAAAAGGGGAGCAGCTTTGGGAGGAAGATAGAGGAATGGGAAGAAGCCTGTTTCCAGAAAGAGTTAAGGAAAAGAATCCATAGAAAGCACTTGACTCATGTCCTGAACCTGATTTAAGTTAGCACACTCTAAATCAGACCACTGAGTAGGGACTGCAGGTCTTGGCTATCCCCGGAAGCTGGTGGGTGGGCTGCCCCCTGAACTGCCAGTCCTGTCACAGGCTCAGTTGTGTGTACTTGCTCCTCCTACTCCCCCAAGTGGAGAGACCTTGCCTACACAGCTGAACAGGTGCTTAGTTGGTATTGCTGGGTGGAAGGATGAATAGACTGGATAGATAGATGGGCTGGAATAGACTAGATAGATAGACAGATGTAATGGATGAACAAAATGGAGGAATGGGTGGGTGGATGGGATGGAGTGGGTTGAATGGATATAAATGATAGAGAAACTGATATGATAGATGGGTAGGACAGAATGGACGGGTGAAATGTATCGGTAGGTCAATGCAATTGATGGGTCAATAGAATGGGTAGATGATGAAACAGATGGAGAAAAACCAGTCATAGTGGTGCACGACTTTAAGCCCAGCACTCAGGAGGCAGAGGCAGGTGGATCTCTGAGTTCGAGGCCAGCCTGGTCTACACAGTGAGCTTCCAGACAGTCAGAGCTGCATAGAGAGACCCTGTCTCTAAAAAACAAAACAACAACAATAATGGATGGCGAACCATAGGCTGGACAGATGGAATGGCATGGAAGGATGATGAAGAGTGTCTAGCTGAAATCCTGGAATTAGATATTCTCAATGGCCATAGCATCTGGTGATTATACTCACAGCCATTTATTTTTTACCCATTTGACCAACTGTGCCCTAGCAGGGCAGATCTACAGGACAGGACCTCTTGGCAGTTACTGAAGACTGTATGATAAAAGCCCCCAGCATTTCCCCTCCCCTTCATAAACCACTCTGTTGCTCTCTAATTGACCTTGAATGAGGTGGTGTTTACAGCTGTGACTTAGCAGCCATTGATCTTGCATTGATGAAGCAACCAGCTGAGCCAGCCCCTGCAAAGGAGAAAGACAAGCCCTGGGACAAAGAACCCCATGTCTCTAGGCACTCGCCTCCCCGCCTCCCCACCTCCCCACCCCCTTTGCTCCACACATCCACAGTGTGTGCTTTTAAATAAACAAACAAGCAATTAATGGATTGCTGCAGGGCCAGAAGAGGAAGTGGGTCCAACTCTGTCCCAGCAGTAGGGCAGACTGGCACAGAAGGCCCTGAAGGGGCATGCCTAGCCTCATTAATCTCACTGGAGAAGCCTGCCCTCCTGCAGCCAGCATCTCAGAGCTGCGGGTTTGGGAAGTTGGGCAGCAATGGGGAGCTCTTTGCATCTGCTTTTTTTTTGTGGTTGTTCCAGTACTTTACCATGGCCAGGGGAAGATCAGCAGCCCTGGCTCCCGTTGGCTGGGCCTGGCTGAGTGGACTAGGCAAGCTACTTTTGGGGCTTCAGATCACTCATCTGGAAAATGAGGAGGCTGGACGAGAATGGCTCTTTTCCTAAACTTGTATTTATTTATTTATTTGCTTAGAATCTGTTCTTGAAACAAAACCTAACTAGGTCACCTCTCTTCCCCACAGCACATTAATGCACACTAAGTAGAAAGGTGGGGTAGGAGAGACAGCAAGCTTTTTACTCCTGCCCCGTTGACTCCCCAGTCTGAGTGTGGCTCCCTGGAACCTCTCTGCTCTGCAAAGCACTTCCCTATCTTACTCAGTTCTAACTGGGGTTGTTACTCATCAGGAAGACCGCTAGCAATAGGAACCTGACAAAAGAAGAGTTGAGGGGTTTAGTTATTCATTTATTTGCCAACAAAAATTCTGGAGGCAGGTGGTCCAGGTTTGGTAGGGCAGCCCCACAGTGCAGCCTGGGAGAAGAGATACAGGCTCCCTCCCTTTCCCTTCTGTTCCTGAGCCTCTGGTCCCTCCTGTCCCTGAGCCCATGGCTGCGGATCTCAAATTGGACTTGTGGTGTGGTATGGCTGTTGAAGCTCCAGACATCACATTCCCATTCTAGACCAGGAAAGGGAGGAAAAGAGAAGTGGATTGGCTACAGCAATCTAATCTGTGCCCTTTTAAAAGCTTTTCAGTCTCCAGCTGACATGTCCTTGGCAAGAACCATGTTGCATGATGACTTCTGGCTAGAAGAGAAGACAGAAAAAGTTTTCATTATTATTTTTTCAACCGGGTGTATTGGCATCCAGAACAAAAAAACAAAACAAAACGAAACAAAAAACAAGAACCCAGGTTTTGCAAATCAGGATGATGAAAAGAGTGGATGAAGTGGACGAACCATAGGGAAAGCCAATCAAACAAGCTAGTAGCTGTTGAACGTTTGCAAAGTACAAGGCACTGTGTTGAGAATTATATTAATGCACAAATTACCTCATTTAATGCTCAACAAAACAAGCATCCACGCCCACCTTTTAGCTCAGGATATTGAGGCACAGAGAATTTAAGGAACTTGGCCAAAATCCTCAGCAAATAAAAGATGCAGATTTTAGCTCAGATGCTGATGCTGGAGGAGAGCTGTGACGTCAATAACCTCCAGGACTGTCCAGTGCAGTTTCAACAGCTCTCAAAGAGAGGGCCTGGAATTGCCGCAGCCTGTGCCAGAGCCTGCTCTGGCAGTCTCCTTATCGACTGTCCTGGTAAGAGGCAGCTCCGATGGGCCGGGCAGGCCTTGGTGCACTGGCCAGAAAGGAAGTATTTTAGATATGCTTTGGCAGCACTGCAGGGACTTGACACACAGCAATGATTTATGAAATAAGATTAAAGGAGCTAAATATATATGGCTGGCACAGAAAGAAGAGGGCACTGAAGGGAGAGAAGGAGGTAGCATGAAAGTAAAACAGAGAGCCTGGAGTGTTCCAGGAGTCTTAGAGAGGGCTGCAGCCTGGAATGTTCCAGAAGTCTTAGCGAGGGCTGCCACAGCAGGATCACTGCCCAGATCCAAAGGAAAAAGAAGTCAGAGTCAGCGTTGGGCTCTGTGGATCCAGTGTTTAGAGCTTGATGGGCATTCAGCTCTGATATAGTAGGGGATGCTTCTGTCTCAAAGAATAGAAGTCAGGCCTGTCACAGTGGCACACTCCTCTGATCTCTTCACTCTGGAGGTGGAGGCAGGAGCATTTTGCAAAGTTCAAGGCCAGTCTCGGTGGCATAGCAAGACCCCATTGAAAACTCAGTAGTGCACACCTGTGATTCCAGATCTCTGGAGGCAGAGGTGGGAGGGTGGCAAGTTGGATACTAGCCTGGTATACATATGGGGATGGCTGGTGCCTAACAGTGTAGAGATCTGTCTCCAAGGGGAGAAAGTGGCGTCTGTAAGTGGAGCTTCACAGTTGTAGGTTGCAACTTTTCTTGGGGTCATCTCAACGCTATTCCATTTTTCAGATGAGAAGCCTAAGGCAGGACAGCTGAAAGTGAGACAGAATAAGGAAAGCCCAGTTTCCACTGGTGTTTCCACTGTTAACAGGCAGCAGGATCTGGTGGGACAAGCATCATTTTTATCTTGCTCCCACCAGCAGCTTCCTTCAAAGCAAGAGAAATGGGCAAGTACAGAATGCCACGTCCCCAGTGGTTTCTGGGGGTGGTGGCAGCAAACACCTTGGACTATCTAAGCCCTCCTCTTTATTTCCCCAGAGGGCACCCAGCAAACTCTGTCCTCTTAGCTCAAGCTTCAGGGCAATGGCATTTCTTGCCACTTCATGATTTCTTTCTTGAACTGAGCAAAATATTTCTCTTTCTTCTCCCTCCTCTTCCTTCTGCATCCCTGCCCTCCCCCACACCCTTTTCCCTCCCTTCTCCCCCACCCATCTCTTTCTTTCCCTCTTGTACTGGGGATTCTGTCCAGGGCCTCACACAGATGCAGCAAGAACTGTATCACTGAGCTAGTCCAGCTATTACCTGTGCAAAAGTTAAAGCACACTGCTAAAGAAGAGCTGGTCTGATTGGTAGTAAAATGACCTCAAATTTAAGAGACTTACACAGTCCCAGCCAGAATCAGATCCAGAAGCACAGGGACACAGGGACACAGGGATATAGCAGAGAAAACATGGCTCCTGTCTAAAAAGCCAACATCCTTCTCTTGGGACTCTTTCCTCATAGATGTCCAGGAAGTGACGTCCATGTCACACAGTCACAACTAATTCCATGGAGATGGCCTCCTGTGCCAGGTGTTCTCCAAGGGTGTCCGATGTTATGGTCAGTTTATTCACTGGGAGAAAAGGTCCCCAGAGAGAACCTGGGCTGCAGCACCCAGTGTCTCTAGGGCCAAAGACTGATGTTTCTCAGTTCTCATTTATCAACTGGAGATCGGAAGGTTAGAGACCTGGCATTTCATTTTGTAACTAAGCTTCTTCTTTGGGCATGAGGGAGGCTTTCTGGGGTCTTGGAAACATACTGCGTCTTGATCACTTTTGGGAATTAATTGTTGTGTACTTCTTATTGAAGTCTATTCCGTATATGGAAAAATACTCTTTTAAAAGGAGTGTCCCAAAACATTTAGTCTTCAGTTTTGGCTGTGGCTGACTACAGTACCTCCAATGACATTCTCTCCTTTTCCTTAGATGGTAACTTGTGATGTTTTTTGAGACAAAATTTCTCTGTGTAGCCCCTAGTTGTTCTGGAACTCACTCTGTAAACCAGGCTGGCCTGGAATTCACAGAGATCCACCTGCCTCTGACCCCTGAGTGCTGAGATTAAAGACTTGTGCCACCACCACCTGGCCTGTTTGCTTGTTTGTTTGTTTTTGTTTACAGTTGCAGTCCCTTTTTAATTTTGCAGTCTTTCTCTCTCTCTCTCTCTCTCTCTCTCTCTCTCTCTCTCTCTCTCTGTCATAGGACCTCTTTGTTCCTTTCCCCATATGACCTCAAATACGTCTCTTTACATCTGCTTTTCACTATTACTCATTTATTTAGTTGGCTTACTCTGAATGGATGGCTGAGCCTTGTTTGGGCTGCCCAGGCTCTGACTCTAGCCATTCTAGGAGCAATATCTCAAACAAGAATATTAAAACAGCTATTGAACCATGCTTAATGCCAAAACACATATCTTAAACCCTTCAGTTCTAATCTTTCCAGCTTTCCTTTCTCAATCATAAGCCTGAACAATGCATCTGAAAAGTGATTTTATAGTTTCATTTGCAAAAGGAAATTCTTTAAGAGAAACAAGCAAACTAGTTTGTTCTACTTAAATTTAAAGCGTTTTTTTTTTAATTTAAACTTTAAACCTTTGAACAGTGTAGCTAAAACCAATGAATTACAGAGACACTTCGGTGTACTAAGACATTTAAGTGCATCTATTAATGTCCACACTGGAATCTGTCCGGTGCGTACTCTCCTTTATCTAATGAACTCCAACTCTGCTTCACACTGACTGGTCCTGAATTTCTTATCCGTGCATAAGTCCAGATCCCAGCTGCACCTGAGTAATTGTCTCTAAGGGGAGCTTCTCAGGTTCTACAATCCACAAGGTTGAATTGTGTCTCCTGTGGCCAAGGACATTTCCACACTTACCTCCCCCATAAGCTTCTAACAGGCAGTAAGTACCATGTCATTCTCTGCGTAAGAATTAGGAGTAGTCTCCAGAGCAACAGCATACTGTAGGTAGGGCTGAAGGTCCCATCTTCCTTGAAGGTTTGGAAGCTATTATTTAAGGAAGAGGAGGAGGAATGCAGGAAATGGGAGGGCCAGGGGCAGAGCAGCTGGTAAGGGCTTCCTCATGTAGCTAAAGACAGTTTCTGGGAGAGCTCTGGGTTCCCAGAGTAGGTTTTGCCTGCAAGTATGTCTGTGTGAGGTGTCCTATCTCCTGGAACTGGAGTTACAGACAGTTGTGAGCTGCCATGTGTGTGCTAGAAATTGAATCCACGTCCTGTGCAAGATCAGCCAGTGCTCTTAACCATTGAGCCACCTCTTCAGCCCATTACCTTGTTTTCTAAACCAGTGGAAGACTATGCTGGGGATACCTTGCCTACACTTGTGGGTGCCAGATGGAAGCTAAAGCTGTCTCCCTGTGTCCTTGGATACAGGTCTCCCTTAGCAGGATAGGTGGCAGCTCCAGGACCACAGTCACCCAGGCAGGTCAGGTGCCCAATTTTCCTCCCCCACCCTATCCTTGCTTGAAGCTCAGACCAGCCTCCAGCCTCTGCAGTAATGGGTGGACCAGGGCAGGATAAAATTTGGTGGTGACTGATTTATGTACTCATTGTATGCAGATGATCTGGCAAGAACCATGGACCTCTCCCGGAGCCCAATATCTCTACCCTTCATCCATCTCTGGCTTTGAATGCTTTTGTTTCAGGCCCACCCATGAGAAGGAAGGAGTGAGAGGTTATGGGTGAAGAAACATGAAATGCAATCTCTTCTTCTAGTCTAGGATTGGTATGATTTTGTTAAGCAAACTATGCCCCAGCTTCCTTCTTGAAGCTTTGTGGTAAAGGCCAAGCATGTCACATGGAGATTGCCAAATGCATACCCCTAGAGCCTGTCTCAGGTTTCCCATGACAGTTCCCTTGCCTGGCCTGGGAATTTGGATTTTGACCAAACACTTTGGGCACTCCTGAACGAAACGTTGCTCTGGCAGGTTGAGGACTCCAGGCCAGTTCCTCCTTCCTGGCCTCCCTCTTCTACCAGAGGGTCTTACGCCTGGAGCCTGGCTGGAACTCAAGGCAGCTTTAGCCTCAGAGGGAAGGGTCAGGAGCAGGACACTAGAGCAAGGACAGAGCTGGTGTACAGGGGAGCTGTGCCCGCTTTTGTCGCTAGTAGCTAGACCGGAGCGAGCCCTCTCAGCCACCTGGGTCACCGCCCTTGCTCCCGGGGACAGGGCAGAGGCAGGCTTGGACCTCTCTCTGGACCCAAGTGTTTGCAAGGAAGAGGAGAGGGGTGAGAGGGTGGAGGAAGGAAGGGGAGGTTTGAAACAGAGAGGGTGGATTGAGGGAGGGAGGGACGAGAGGAAGAGGGAAGGAAAGGGGAGGAGGAGGGAGGAGGAGGGAGAAGGGCAACACGCTGAGAAAAGAATCCTCCCACAGAGAAAGACCTCTCCCATTCCCAGCTCTTGCTTGTGCTCGGCTCATCCCACAGACCTCCACCTGGATCCACCCTCATCCTCAGGACCTCAGGAAGTGCTTACACTGTCCTTTTGTCCTAAAGTACCATTGTCCTTACCTTTCAGGCTGGTAAGCTGAGGTGTAGCTGAGGTGCCCAAGGCCATGTTGACTTGTAACAGTGGAGATTGGCTTGGAACCCTGCCTGGCTCATGTTCATACATTGATCCCCGCCGTCAGCTCTCTCTGCCCACTGTGACTAAAGGACAGATTCGATGAACAGAATGGCTCTCCTTCAACCTGGAGCAGCTGTAGATGCACGGGAAGACCCTGGGATGTACCCGGATCCCAGTGCATGGCAGGGGGGCTGCTTGGGTGTTGGAAAGAGTGGGACCTGGGGGTTCTGCCCTGCTGAGGAAGACACCCAGGGTCAGTATCCTGGCTCAGCCCACAGCCTCACTGACAGGTTTATGACCAAGCTTTACAGCTTCCAAGCTTAGTCACTGGCTGAAGTCAGGCTGCTCAGAAACAAACACATAGCAAAGCTGTGACCCAGCCACCCAATCTGGGAGAGGCGACCCACCCTGGGCAGAACTGGCACTGGGGAGGCAGCAGGCTGAGGTCTGGTGCATTTGCGGTGAGCCACATACTTGTCCTTAATTTTCCTTGTCTTTCCTTTGAAGCACTGAGGGTATAAGCAGCAGATGCCTGTAGCTACCTGAGACAACCTGACACTTACCAAGAGTGTGGGATGTTCTGTCCCCTAGGCCTCCCTTGGGAACTCAGCCTGAAGCAGGGAGGGGAGAAAGAAAGAAAGAAAAAGGAAGAATTTAAGGTCCTTCTGGCTTTCAATTCATTAGCAGAGAAGAGGCCAGGCCAGGATCCAAAACAGTTCAACCCAAATTCCTTTTCCCCTGGCTGCTCTTTCCCCATACATGGCCTCTATGAAAACCCGACCTTCCCAAATCTCCCTATTTGTGACCCATTGCTAAATGTGACCCAGCACTGCAGCCCTCCATCTATCTGGGTTTGCAGCAAGCAGAGATAGGGAGCCATCAGTGGCTTCTCTGCCCAACTGAGCACAGTCGGGATAAATAATACCACTTGGGAGCAGCCCTTCCTACTGTCTGGGGCTTCAAGGACAAGGAACTTCCCTTGCTTCTGGCTGATCCTGCAGTCACCTTATATCCCTGTCCCAGGCTGGAGAAAGGATCAGGAGCCCAGTTAGCAGGAAATGTTTGGGGAGAAAAACCTCCAGGGAGCCTTGAACTTGCCTGATTCCTTTGGGTTATGGCTTAGTGCACATGGGTCAGGCCCTGAACACTCAGTCTCCAGTTCCCTACCTGACTCATCCAAGATCACATCACTGCTCATTTGCCCAGGGGACTGAGTTGCCCATCCCTGACCTCCCACCTTCCCCAGATCTCTTGCTGGGGTGAGGACACCACACCAGCCCCTTGCAGCAAATAACAATCATATATTGCTCTCTTTGGGACTTTCGCCTCTAAAATACAGTCCACTTCTTTCACTTCCCTTTTCCCCCTTTCCCAGCATGCACTGGTGTTTTTTATGGTAAAATTACTCTTGACTTTCATCTCATTGTAGTGTAGTAAAAGCTGCTGTGATGCTGCTAAATGAGGACCGGATGTTCCCAGACATGAAGGCAAAGAGCGTCATTGGGAAGTTTGTGACAGGGCTGGTTGAGTCTGTGCACTGGGAAGCTCTGAGATCTAGGGGACAGTTGTCACTACGTCACATCCAAATTTACATGACACATGTGTGTGCATCATTGCGGGGTTTTCCTGAAGCAGCAATAAAACCTGTACTTAGGATATTAGTTCCAGAGTGTGCTAGATCTAAATCCCAACTATGCCACTTACTAATTTTATGATGTGGGCCAATATGTAAGCCTCCAAGTCTACAGCTGTCAGATGTGAGAGAAGAGTGCCTGCCTCTCAGAGTGGCAGTGTTTCAAAGTATATTGGTCAATAATGGCTGTGTAACCACCAACCATCCTTTCTCAGTAGCATACAGTAACGAACGAGCATTTGGAAAATTTCTGAATCTTGGCCAGACTATTCACCACTTCAAACTGATGGTCTGGGGGACTCAAGCCCACTTGTTGAGTCTCACATAGCCCAGGGCTCTTCTGACAGCAATGACGAGACACGGAAGAGAGTCAATGCCAGTGACTGCTCAAGCACATTTCAAGCCCTTAGGGCACCTTACATACTTACATTCCATTGACTAGAACAAGTCCCAAGGCTGAGCCCAGGGGTAGAAACAGGGGCATGCACTCAGTCCACCAGCAAGACGTGGTGAGGGTGAGGATGTAGAGGTGAAGAACCAAGGATGATGCTCAACTATAGAAGAAGGTTCAGCTGGTTCAAAACCATGGTTCAGTTTCTGGCATGTGGCTGGCACTTAGGAAAGGGGACCCCCATCACTGCTGGGCTTCTTGTAGTTCCTGCAGAATATTTGCCTCAGACTCGTTCTGGGTGATAGACTCTAGGTCTCACTCTGCATTGATGAAATGTCACCAACTTACTACCACTGCTCTCTTGCTGCTCTCCTTCCTTCTGCTTTCAAGTCATGAACATTCCATAGCCTTCTCTCGTTCTCTGCACGCTACCTTTAAACTTCGTCCTCCCCTCCCACATAACTTTTACAATGTTCATGTTTTACATTTGTGTGTGCATATGCATACGTACATATAAATTTAAATCTATATTCTGCATATGAGAGAAAACTTGATGTCTTTCTGAGCTTTTATTTCTCTAGCATAATGGTCTCCCTTTTCCTACAAATGTTTTGATCTAATTCTTTGTTGCAGATAAGCAAAGTTGCATCCTGCAAATGTACTGCATTTTCTTTCTCCTTTCATCTGTTAATGTACCTCTGGGCTAGTTCCATACCTCAACTATTATGCACAGTGCAGCAGTAAATATAGAAGAGCATCATTAGCTTCTTTTGGGTGACATCACAGTTCCCTCTGACAAACCAGCGAGGGAGTTCCAGCAGCAGAACCCTGAATGTTGATGGCTGAAGTATGAGTAACACATGTGTAGTACTGGACCACGAAGGGGATACTGGTGAGCCTCGTATCCCAGCTTACTTAGTAATGAGATGTTGATCCCATGTCACAGTCTCCATGGGATATTTTTTACTTCCCATGTGTTTTAAGGCATATTACCTTGAGAGCATTTCTTTAATGCCAGCCTTGCTGGGTCTTATGAAAGCAAGACCTTTGTCTTTGTGAGTCAGCCAATACCTGTGCTTGGTACAGCCTCTACACCTTCATCTGGGGGGTGACAAAGACATACCCATTGAATGCCACTGGTCTCAAGTGAAATGTGAGATAATAAATGCCTTAAATAAGTTTTTGGGAAATATGAAAAATGTGGAAGAAAGTATGGAATGCCTTCCAGATGGCCTGGCTTGGGTACATGCAGCTATCTGTCTGTCTATCTATCTATCTATCTATCTATCTATCTATCTATCTATCTATCAATCAATCATCTATCTTCAGTGATCTACCCTTAATTTCTGCCATTGGGTCCTTGAGAATATAGAGTCCAGATGTTTAAAGCACACCTGTACTCCCAGATTCTTTTCTCTTCCCAGTTCATCTTGGAGTTCCTCACTGGGCACTTAAGGTTGTATAAAGAAAGCCCTTTACTTTGAATTTCTCTTTCATGACCCCTTCTGTGCCCCTTGGTCCCTGTGACTCAGGCAGCCTTGCCAGCCACTGGGAACATATTGCCAATGTCTCATTAAAATACTGAAATCTCTCACCAGATGGTAAAAAGTGTGAGTCAACCAGACTATAAACCGGCCAGGAGCACTGTCCCCAGCAGCTCAGAAGAGGCGGTCATGGCAGAGAAGCCACAGCAGATGAGGGCTTAGAGGGGACAGACAGTGAGAGTGATGACAGACCTGCCAGCCACTCCAGAACAGCCAATGGAAGGAGGCGACAGCACCGTGGAGGGCAGGCAGCCCTGTGACCACGTTCCCAGCAATGATGTGTGACCAGAGTTCCAAGCAACCAGTGTGATAGGAATGGCCCTGTACGTGTTTGTGACAGTCCTCACACAGAGGGCCTCTCAAGCAGTGGAAGCCAGGAAAAAAAAAAAGAAAACTACCCATGAATGAGTTGCTAAGACTTCCAAGGACTCCGTGAATAGAACGTCTGTAATGTTTGTCTCAAAGAAGTACCGGTGTAAGTAATATATTCACTGCTTTTAAAAATTGTTCTAACAAACTAACTGGCAAAGAACTTAAGGTAGGGAAGATTTATTTGGGACAAAGTTTGAGCCCATTATGGAGGGGAAAGTATATGGAGTTCATGGCAGCAGGAACACATGGCTTCTCATATCACGGTGGTAATGAGCCTGTGGGGAGATAGTTGTGACAAAACCATGACAAGTAGCTTCACCAGCATAGAAAACAGAAGATTATAGTCTCTACAAGGCCCTGATGGGTGCATTAATCAATGACTCACAGCCTGGGTTATCTGTCCTTTGTGCATGCCCTCACCCTGGCCTCTGCCCACAGGCCTTCCCAGTGTCTCCTCACTGCTCTACCTGCCCCTGCCCCTGCATGAGCCTCTGGCTACCATGGGGCCTCCTGTGATATAGAGCTGAAGTGTTTTCATGCTGTACCCCTCTTTTCCCTCCTTGAGTCCTGTGATGGCTGACTTTGTGTATCAACTTGACTGGCCACTAAACGCCCAGATATGTGATCAAACACCATTCTGAGCTTTTTCTTTGCATGTGTTTTGCAGAGTAAAGCAGATGGCTTCCTTCACGCAGTTTGGCCTGTTCTAGCACCTTGCAGGACCAAGTGGGTCTCAAAGGTTGGCAGTCTTGGAAATAAGAGGCAAGCCTGCTGATTGAACTTTATGGTGACTGGATCTGATCTACCTCTTGTTGAGTCTTGGGATTTGGGAACAGTGTTCTGGATTTTGTTCTGTGGCTCTCCTGGTACGTAGTTGCAGCATGAATCTTAGAGAGTCTTATTAATAAAATCAAACCCGGGGCCAGTTACTGGGGTGAAATGCTGGAAGGTCAGAGAGACAGAACAAGCCACAGCTACCTCACCTCGCTGAATCCTCAGCTGGTCTTGTTTCCTCAGACTGGAGGCCTCTGAGTCCTCATCCAGAATGGGTCTCAGTTGAACTGCTGCTCGAAAGCCTGAATGCTTAACCAGCCAAATGCTTAACAAGGCCAAATGCTTCTTGTTCCTGGTCCTCATGCCTTATATATCTTTCTGTCTTCTACCATCACTCCCTGGGATTAAAGGCTCGCTTTCTGGGATTAAAAGCGTGTGTTACCATGCCTGGCCATTTCCAATGTGGCCTTAAACTCACAGAGATCCAGAGGGATTTCTACCTCTGGAGTGCTGGGATTAAAGGCGTGAATGTCACCATTTTCTAGCCTTTGTATCTAGTGGCTATTCTGTCTCTGACCCCAGATAAGTTTATTAGGGTGCACAATATTTTGGGGAACACAATACCACCACATGTTGTGGGTGTGGTTGAGTTTTTTGTTAGCTTGGCACAAGATAGAGTCATGTGAGAAGGAACCTCTGTTGAGAAAATGCCCCTATAAGATTGGCCTATGGGGACATTTTCTTGATTAATAACTGAGGTGGGAGGGTCCAGGTTACCGTGGGTGGTACCATGCCTTGGCAGGTGGTTCTGGGTGGTATAAGAAAGCAGGCTGAGCAAGTCACAGGGAGCAAGCCAGTAGGTAGCATGGCTTCTGCTTCAGTTCCTGCCTCCAGGCT